ATTCTGGGAATTGAAGTCCACACATCTTAAAGTTGCCAAGGTTGAGAAACACTGATCTAGAGGCTCTGTGAAGCACATTTTGCCCTTTGAATAGGACCCATTGCACAGCCCTTCAATTCAGGCTAGCTGTTTCTTGTCGATTAGGGCCAGTTTTACTGAAATGTGGGATTCTGGACTTCTAGGACAGACACCCGTCCACTGAAGCACAAATGGAAACCCACCCCACTCTTCGTTATTCAGCGGAATGCTTCTGTCCCAAATTTGAGGAAGCAGGAAGAAAAGTTGCTGGCTCTGAAGAAACCCTGTTTACCTGCCTTGAGTCGAACCACAGAACTCCAGGAAGAATTGAGTCACCTGAGGAGTCAGATCGCTAAAATTGTCGCTGGAGATTCAGGTAAAAGCCCAGCATCCCAATAGCGAAGGCGCCGTGCAAAAAAATAAAACCAAGCCGAAATATCCACACTTTATGAAATATATGACATGAATACCTGCGGGAGTAGGTGTACTTTGAAAATTATTACTGTTTCTGCAAGCAGAAGTAGCAGGTAGCATATCTTGAGCCTAGCTTGAGCATTTGGTAGCAAATTTGAAGAACTAGCTTGGATATACAAAACATGTATATCCCATGTTCCCACGTACTTGCCGCAAGAACTCGTGTAAACTTAGGTGGCTTATCTTTTAAATGAGATTTGATCAAGGGCAGGCTTTCTCTCTTTGGGACAGAATGTCATGTCCATTGCGGAACATCTGGGCCTGAAGTGTGCTACAAGTTATCTCACTTCCTTTCTCCCATTTGTTGTGTTGAACAGGCCTGTTTCACCCCTGCTTCCTCTTTTGTAACTTAAGAACCAATTTACTGTATCCCACTACTTTAGTTTACCAAGAGGTGGGATTCAGTGGGATCACCCTTTCATAATTTATGAACTGCTGTCGTGTTTACGCTCTTTTATGGTCTCTCTCCTCTTTGGGGAGTCTGCAGAATAACTAGGCCTGGAATAATCACAGCAGCCTTGTTGTTTAACAACTTACCTAGTGGCTGTTGGTGATGAGAGGCCCTGTGCAGGCACATGAGTGGGCTGGCAGAGCAGAGACGATGCCGTGTCCCTTTCTTGCCAGTCTGTTTGGTTCCTATGCTGACTTACCTGCCTCTGAGGCCAACACCCATACCGAAGCTATTAAACCCCTGTTAGTTAATCACATTACTGCCCTCTTAAGATCTCAAATATGCACTGAAACTGGGGTTTAACGTACAACCTGCTTATCCATTTGAAAGCAGAAAAGCTGGAAGAATGGGGAAATAACTAGCAGATTTAGTGCAGCTATAACAGTTACAGTATTGCAAACCAGTGTCTGATTCTGGAGCCTGTTCTTAAGGTTAGGTATTAACACTTAATTCTGGTTAACAAAAGCTATCATAGTTAAAGCAAAAGGTCCTGGAACCTTCTGAATATAACACAGTGGCTCTTGGTCCTTCTCCTCTGATGCCTGTTTGAGAGCTTGCTTCTGAAAAGGCTTGCAACGTGTTGCCCTTCAAGGCTGAAAAGCAGGATTTTCTGGTTCCAAAAATTATTACAAAATATTTTTTCATTCTTGTGTAGAGGCTGTTAAAACAAGCCTGTGAGAAAAAGCTGCTTCTGGCATGAGAAGCAGGCAGGCCTAGTTCTTACTGAAAAAAAGAATAACCTCTGGGGGTGGTGTTTTATGTCTCTGCCTGTCTGGGGCTGATAACTAGATGACATGGAAGCCTTTCTGTTTAGGAGTTGCTGGTTGTAACAGGAAAGTGTGGGATGGAAGTTACAGACCCTTATGTTGCATTATTGGAAGTTGTTGAGTCCCGGTGGGGGAAAAGGGGTTATAATGCTTTTGGTGAGGATGTCAACCAAGGTAAGTGGTTAACACAGGTTCTACTACAAGAATAAAACCCCTAATATGGCAGCCAGTTCATATCTCCTTATATTGTTCTTTTTTTTTCCAGCTTCCTCTTCATTAACTCCCGAGTTATTATCTCCAGGAAGTTCAAATGTGTCTTCTCCCTTACCCTGCTTTGGACCCTCATTCCAGTCTACAACTTCCTTTGTCATTAGTGATATCACAGAGGAGGAGGCTGACTTAGAAAGTCCTGAACTTCCATCTGTTTCCATGCTTTGTTCTGCAACCTCTGAATGTTGCAAAGCTGACCCGAAGGATTCTGACGACGACGACTCAGTGTCTCTCTCAAAGGCCAGTAGTTTTGCAGATATGATGGGCATTCTTAAAGACATTCATAGAATGAAACAGAACAAAGACTCGTAAGTACTTCTTTTTTTTTCCAATTTGTTTTGCTTTGTATAAAATGATTTCTGGCCTCTGCAAATGCAACATCTAAGGATTCATGCTAAAATATTTTTGCTGCAATCCCACAAGAAAGCAAGCAGTCACAAAACACAGTTTGGAAATGTTTTCTTTAGCTGGGTCTCATGATTGTGGTGCAAATATGTCCATCAAAGTTACTGGCTAACATCCATACATACCTATTTTTGTCATGTGTTATCTCTGAGGGAACAAACAGCACAATCACCTAAGGAAATTCTTAGTTCTCTTAGATTGCCAATGGACTGTGGCTGCTTCCTTGCAATTCTAAACTGTGATGCCCATTGGGACTACTGTGGCCATAGAAACTTTGGGCCTTATAATCTCTCTGTGGTCCTGATAATGTTGGGTGTGTGTTTGGGGGGGGGGGTCTTAAAACATTTTTGAGAATAAATGGATTACAGGGCCCCAGGCTCCAAAGCCATTTGTACTTCCACAAGGTTTCTGAGTCTGGAGGACATCCTTAAGGAGTATAAATTATTAGCATTATTATTAATAATAATTAATAATTGTTTGTTTGCTCAATTTACATAGCCACCCATCTCGTATACATGACTCTGGGTAGCTCACAGAGTTAAAACCGCACAGAAAAAACCCCACCAAAAATAACTAAAATCATAACAAAAGATTAAAACATTAAAGCAATAAAAACATTAAAAACATAATCTGTGGGAGAGTGCTCAATTTCCATAACAATACAGTCACTTTGCAGGCTCCATACCCAAGTTACTGGGTCCCCAGGCTAGATGGCAAAGCCATGTCTTTGGGCCCTTCCGGGAGGCCAGCAAGATTGGGGCCAGTCTAACCGCAGAGGGAATAACGTTCCAAAGGGCGGGTGCTATGGCAGAAAAGGCTCTCCTCCTGGGTCCTGACGAGGACAGGACCTGTAACGTGCCACAGAACATGCCCCTTCTGCCAGACCTGATGGGATGGGTAGAGGTAATCTGGGAGAGGCAGTCCCGCAAATGACCCAGCCTCATGCCATGTCGGGCTTTATTGGTCATTGCCAGCACCTTATTAATTACTTATTATTAATAATAAATCTACTAGATTTATTATTAAAATGGGTGTCAGATGAAGTTGAGAGCTTCGTTTTGAAATGTGCAAAGATTGAAAGGGGTTCTCTGTAACATTCACGCAGTTACAGCGGGCCTCTCACGAGTGAGGGGAAAGAAGACACCAAACTGATTCTCCTTTGAGGGGGACGCGAGCGCCCAGACCTGAGTCTGGAAACCTCTTTTATTGAGTACATCAGAGGGCTGGGTTAGTACATCAGAGGGCTGGGTTA